AGAGAGGCCTCCGTTTTATTATTCTTATACTTATTATATAGAGTCGTTACTCAATTTGTTTTAAAGCTCAAAAATAATAACAAAGAAGACCTTTGCACCGGCACCTTTTCTCTAATTTTGTCCAGAAGATTTAAACTTTAAACGACATGTTGACCGAAAAAAAATCAAACTGAACTCTGCCGCGCGGTCCCCTCGTCCCTTGGAAGAGGCGGAGAGGTGGGTGTTTGTCATCTGCTGGTGGACTAACCGGAGAGAATTACAGCGAGGGAGGGATTGCATTGAATAACAGCAGCAGGAGCAAACGCTTGCCTCTGGGAGGGAGAAAAAGAGCCAGAGCGGAGAATAAACAGAAGGGCAACCATGGCAACCATGCGTGGAAGTCTTCTTCGCTGCTTTTGTGGCAGACTACAGCGCCACTTACAGGCCTGGCATATGTACTACAGCGTCTCCAGCGCTTTCAAGCGGCAATGGCCGGCCGTGGCCTAACCTCTCATCCCCCTGATAGGTGGAGAGTTGCCCATATAGGCGGAGCACCCTTTTTCTGACGTCAGAAACATTCAAACCTGTATCAGCTCCGTTGCAGCCCCCGTTTTTAGAGATTTGGGTATGGAGGAAAAGAGAGAGGGTTGTTTTTTCTGACACTTGGTGAGTTCCCTGACACGCCAGCGGGGACACATATTCATGTTTAAAAGACGTACAAAAGTGCATTTTGCATGATAGGTCCCCTTTAAGTAATAAAGACTTGTTAAAAGGTATGGCCTATTGACATGTGAGCACCACATTTTGAATTATTCTTACTTGATTTTCTGCATGTGAGAGAAGAAAAAAAGGATAAAAATAAACAAAAAGTGTATGACTTAAATATTTTTGTATGGGTCTCTTTTTGTAATCATGTCCCAAAGGTTGTGAACGGCAAGTAAACAATGTTACATAACATTTATACAAGGATCAACAGAAGAAATACTGTCGCATGAATATCAAACCATTAGTATACTTACAAATGAGATAAATGTATCATATCACTGAGTCTTATTAAATACTATCAATTGGTTCCATTCACTGTGACAGTAAGTGAAACCGATCGAGCACTTGTCCTCTTTTCTCATACTTTTATTATTCTTCCTCTCATTTCCCTTAATCCGTATCAGCCTTTGGCGTATTTTGTTGTGAAGTAAATACGAGAGGCATTATTTTATTCATGAGTTGCAAAGTGCTGCTGCAGTTTGGTTTAGTCAAGCCGTGGTGGGATGACGTGCGAGTGTTTCTTCCTGTGACAACGGGAGCAGCTTTGATGATAACCAGTGCAGCAGTCCTCGGGCTCAGATCCTCTCTGCTTTATTTCTGTGTGTGTGTGTGTGTGTGTGTGTGTGTGTGTGTGTGTGTGTGTGTGTGTGTGTGTGTGTGTGTGTGTGTGTGTGTGTGTGTGTGTGTGTGTGTGTGTGTACCTGTGTGTGTACCTGTGTGTGTACCTGTGTGTGTACCTGTGTGTGTACCTGTGTGTGTGTGCGTACCTGTGTGTGTACCTGTGTGTGTGGTAAAGGTAGGTCCTCCTCTCTGGCCTGCTTTGCCTAATACGTCCATGCAGCGCTCGGCGGAGACAGCGTGCAGCAGCTCTCAGATCAGGGCTATTCTGGTGCTGCCAGCCTGCCCAGTGCTGATAGGGAAGGATTAATGAGGCGGGGCACTCATCACTTGTAATTAGAAACAACGCTAAAAACTATTTCTGTGCTTGTTCCTATGGAGAGATCTTGACCCTCAGGCCAGCACCCCCACACCCCTTCGCCGCTAGCCACGAGGCGGTAGACGCCTGCGAAGTTGCGAGTAAATATAGGGCCATAACTCCTGCAGCTATGTGACACATGGTTCAATGTAGGAGAGAACAGATCATTCACAACTCTGGCTGTGTGCTCCACTGGATGCTCAAATGTCAAGAGGCTGATAGAGGCTGTCTCTTAAAATACACACGGTGAGGCTTGTTTGTTGATATTGATCCCAATAATCAGGGAGTCTCTGAGCTTCTGCCGGGTCCTGGCTGTTTGTATCGTGCCGCTTTGGGGACATTGTTTTTTTCTGTTCTTTCTGCTACTTCTTGTATTGCTGAAGCAGTTACTTGATCAATTGATTCATCAACTGCTTATTTGATATTTTTTAGGACAAATATTTGCAGATCCCAACTGCTTTTCTAATTTTATCATTACTGTTGAGTTGAATATCTTTGGGATTTGGATTGCTGCTTGTTGTCACCTTTAGCTCTGGAAGTTCTAATATTATTCTGACTTTTTATAGACTTAATTATTAATTAATAAAATAAGAATTGGAATTAAATAATGGCATAATAATCTGTTGTTGAAACCCATGTCTACTGTTTGGTATTTAAATCTATATTATGATTTATTTTGGCTGAACATCATCACAACACTGACATAATATCACCTTATACGTTGAACTTTTTGGCAAGAAATGTCTTATTTACAGTTACAGAGCAACCTTATCGTTCATCTGTAGTCGTATTTCTATCCATTTGATTAATCTAAGTCCAATATTCACTTCGCTTTTAGCCCTGTTTTAGTCTCTACAAATTCCCAAGGTAAATATGTGACTCTTTTGCTGCTAAATGCTACATTATGGTACAACTAGTTGCTAAATGCGTCACCATGCTGCTTGGCGCTGGGCAGGTAGTGTAGGCGTGAATGTATGCCATCTGTTATCTTAGAAAGGCTAAGATGCTAGCATTTTGATTCTTTTTGGCAACAATGCAATGCAACATGCTTTGTAACCATGCTACTTGCTGCTAGGCAGGTTGTGTATATTAGGTTTATCAGATCTTTCGTTGAAAATAACTGGGAACAAAGACAAAACAGCATTCAGTTGATAATTGTGTCATTAAGCTAGCCAATTTAGTCATTAATTAATATAGAAATGTAGATTTTTGCAGCTTTAAACATGGAAATACAACGTGAGACATAAGGTACATATGAGTTTCCACCAAGTAAAACATCTTAAGAAACATATTTCTTCTTTATTCTCGCCAAAGAAATGAGTAGCTCCACGTAGGAGAACTCGTAGGAGAAATTAAACCTCCAGGACGCCAAACCAAACTTGAAGCCTCCCCCTTTATTTCAAAGCTCACAAGTAGGGATTACAAAATTACAGTGCTTCAATTGCAAGAGTTCAAGGAGTAGTAGGAGAAGAGTAGGAGAGTTGACAGACCAGTTGAGGAATCTTGAGTCATGCAAAAAGGTGTGGGAGAAGGCCTCCGTTATAATAGCACCCTTTGTGGAGAAAAAAATAAATCCATTTGTCCGTAGGTCAGTGCAAAAATAGTAATGAATATATGCATACAAAGAAAATAGATATATATTTATATACTGTATATACTTGACCTTTGACTACAGACACAGAGAAAGATAGACTTGTAGAGCAGAGTTTCCATGGTAGCCTCCCAGCCTAAAGCAGAGACTCTTAAACAAGTCTAGTTGTAACAAGTGCACATCAAATAATGACAGCTTGATATTGTTCCAGTACAGAACCGTGTTTTGTTAAAAATAAAAAGGAGCAGATGGTTCTCCGAGCTGGCGGTCAGGCTACGACCTCTAGAGAAAGAGCAGTGTGGAGAAAAAAGAAAGCACCGTAATGTCTGCGAGTGTGCCTCACAGACCAGGAGCACACAGCATGCTTCGTTTTCCAACCAGAGAGTAATGTACAGTACGACGGTTACATTGTTCAGTCAAATAGATCATTGCATACAAAAGCCATGTGCCGCTGCAGGTGTAGGAACCGGCAGGTGGGACAAAAAGGTTCATTTTTCTCATTAGCTCTCTTTTTTTTTTGCAAATCACTGAATATAAATGCACAAGCTACAAACGTGTGGTAAATGGTTATTATATACCTCTTTTTGTTATCATATTCAAATATATTGTGGAGCACCAGTAGACACCAATGACGACAGCAACAGAAATAGTGAGGACACGTCGCCACTCACGTTTTTTGTTTTCTTTGTCACACGTTAAAAAAAACTCACTTCAATCTGAGTCCGCAAACTGTTATTCATGCTCCAAATGTTTGCAGAGATCTCATAAAACTATTCTCATGGTCTTCGGGTAAAGGAAAAACCTGTTTCATTTTGCATAGCATGAATTTTCACATGAGGGATTTTTGAAGCTTATTGTTGTGGATGTTGGTGTTGTAAAGCCTTTCCGAGTGCACTGTGTATTTGTATTCACTACGCTACGCTCCTTGCATTCTCCTTCATCTTGCAGACGGACACACACGATCACTCTCCTAATGTTTGGCTTTCAGATGTACTTTTGAAGATAAAATGGTTCACGGAGGTTATGGAGAAATTGATGTGGTTTTTGGGGTGCTCTGACGGTGATATTGTTAGCCCTGTGCTTCATTTTAAGTCTTTGTTTCCATGCGAACAGTGGAGAAAAGAAACCAGAAGAACCTATGAACATAAACGTGACATTAACATCATTTGTGAGGAGGTTGCTTCAAGTCAGCTTGATACACTACTTGACGAAGCTTGTTTTAATCTGAAAAAGATTTTAAAACTTCAGTTAAAGTGCTAAATGCTCTTTTATGTGTTTGTCAATTTGACAGCCCTCTGGGTGTATCACATGAAAACCGAGTGCATCAAAGATCTATGTTTTTCAGCCTAAAACAAAGATGTTTTTTTCAATATCTTCCCTATGTTTAAATGCTGAGTTTATGTATGGACATGCACACAGTCCTCTCTTCAAGATGAGGTCTATACTGTGTGCTGTTGTTCGTTAGACAGGTGGTTAAAACCCATGCATTTTCACTTATAAGAAGGCTGAAATGCTAGATTTCAATTCTTTTTCGGCAACGATTAAAAAAAGTTCACTTCGGGCCATTTAAGTAGCATTAGCACGTTGAGAATGTTTTGTTCTCTTCATATCTTTCTACATATTGTAGTATTAGTCAAAGTGAGTATATTCAGGCGCAACAGGACGAGAGTAAGCTTTGTGTGCGTGCATCAACTCTTCACTAATGTTTAGACTCGAATGCCACCTCGAGATCAGAGTTACATAATGAGCATTGTTACCTCAAGGCTTTGAAAGCAACGTTCTAAAACTCTGCATATTAAGCAGGAATAGCAGAGAAAAATATGTTTGTAACACGGAGATCAAGAGGAGCAGGTTGCTTTTGTCTGGGAGCTGAAATTCAACCTCGGCGTGTGTTGCATCTGTATGCACGTGATGGTGTACCAGGCGCAGGCCCAGTGGTGACACATGAATTAAGGCATTGATAGAGGCACTAGAACAGCACGTGACAGCAGCACTCGCCTAAGCAAGGCAGAGGAGCTCACTTAACTGTAGCCTGGTGTCAGCGAGCTGCAAAAGATGAGACGAGGGTCACGCTGCTCTACTGTACCGCCACCGTCACGCTGCACCGCCACCCTGCAGGAGGAAGCAAACATTTGTTTGTCTGCCCCTCAAATCTGCTACCTTACAATGGACAAAATCAAAGCTCAAAATGTAGGGCTTTGACACAAACAAATGCAGCTACACAGGGGCTCTGTGAGTCTGTTGCCACAGAGTTGGCTCATAGATGAATGGGAGCAGAGAGAACAGAGGAGACAACAGAAGCAGGCAGTGAAATTCCTCCGTTCTGTTACATTAAACATCACCAGTAGCCCCGTTTTACAATATTCACTCATTATTTCAAAGTGTTCTCTGCCAGCAGCCATGCATAAAAAAGCTCTTATGGCTGTTTGGCACTATATGTATATATATTGCTAAAATATATGCATATGTGGATGCAGGAATGGCAAAACGGAGAGTAAACACATCAAATATGAATTTGTGGTTCTGATGAATTACATAAACCCAACAAGCTGTACTTACAAAAAAAAGTATCTTTTCTCAGACATGTCTGCGCCAAAAATAACAGCATAACTGTTTCCACCATAACCATAAACCAAACTGAACAACAGTAAGTACATAAACATCAAAATGTTTTTTTCAGCAAAGAGCTGGAAATGTTTTGTAATCATTACCGATATATACACATAAGATCAAGGTCTCGGTTGCATTCCACTCTGAATTTATTGCACAGTAAGCCGCTGTGGGCTCATCATGGTCACCCCCATAAACCCCTGTATAAAAATAGATCAACAACATTAACACACCGAACAAGTCTCTATATTTTTTTTGTTTTTTTGACAGGCACTGCCATGGCCAACCCCTTCTGAGTCTGCAAACAGAAACTGTGTAGCACAGTGGGAGCTTTAAGAGTTTCTCTTGTCAGTAATTGCCCCTAAGCACAGAGACTATCTCTTCCAAACCGATTTCCTGTTCCTTCATGTTTGCTCTCCATCGGTAGGACTGACCCCCCCCCTCTATCTCCATCGCTGCCTCTTCTTCTCCTCCGGGACTTCAGCCGGGTCCAAACAGTAGGGATTTTTGGCATTTCTCATCACCACTGACCCAAAGCTCTGGCACTCCAGAGAGCCCAAAATGAGCGTGAGGAGATTCAAGAAGAATACAGGAGCTCTCACACTCAGAACCAGCCTGCAGCAGCTGGACTCTCTTGAAAAAAAGGATGAGAGTGAGTACAAGTGTGAGCGTCTAGTCGATTGGGTTAGCTTAGACGATGGTTTCCACACCAATCAGCTTTGGTGTTAGGATTCGTGGCGTTATTCCGTTGTTCAGGTCCTCCTCGAACTCCAACAGCTGGCCCATGAAGTTGAGGTTCGGGGAGATGATGGGCCTCCTAGTTTTCACAAACTTGTAGGCGTCAGTCATGGTCATCCAGGTGTGCTTCATCAGGTAGGCGATCACGATGGTGGCTGAGCGAGACACGCCTGCCTGGCAGTGGATCAGGAGGCCCATTCCTGCTTGATGTGCTTCCTCTGCAGAGAGGAACATGGGAACAATTAGAATATAATCTGATCAATGCCTCAGGGGAAGTTCATGGTGAGACAGTAAACACTTCCTCTGTGACCAGGAGTCTATCTGGTCCTGGTTAAAAAAACTGGGTTTGAAAGAGTGAAAACTACTCAGATTCACAGTACCTCACCTGATCCCATATTTCTTAATTGAAATTATCATTTTTACAGATTATATTTGATTTAGTGAAATAGATTTTCCAAATTACGATGGCAAAATTGGTTTGAGTGCTGGTATGTATATTTATAATTCAAGAAATATAGTACATAGTATTTTACATACAAATTATTTTGTATGGTTAACATACCAACATTTTTATTTTTTTCATTCCTTAAAGAAAGATGTAGAACAATTTCTGTGCAGTATCAGAACATTTGTAATGATATTCAGCCTATCATCTATTTTCTATCAATGTACTACTCATTTCTACTGAGCACCTCATGTTTTGGCCCTATTGCAATTCAAAGATAGAGAAACAAAAAAAACACTTTAAAAAACGTTTAAGAAATCTTGAAAATGGTCAACCAACTCAACTCAATTTAAGTTGTTGGCACCACAGCTATCTCTTCCCTCATTGCTACGTAAGAAAACAAAAAGACAATTGACATTCATCTCTAAAACTTAATTATTCTTTGGTTTAATTGCTCTGAAGCAGACATTACATTGCCCTTAAGGATCACAAGACAGGAAGTTTGGGAACATTTAGCTTACACTGTTGCAGTGAAAACAGTGAAAGTTTTCATACCGATGAATTCAAACGCCTCCTCGAAGTACTGCCGCAGGTTCTGCTTGTTGCTGTCGGTGGCGGGCAGGCGCTTGTAGACGAAGAGGCCCGTGTCGTAGTGGAAGAGCGGCAGGTGGGTGGTGGTGTTCAGGATGAAGCCGATGTTGAAGCGCTGCAGCATGTGGATGTCCTGAGCATCCTGCTCGTTCCCCAGATATAGTAAGGGCAGGATTGGCGTCAGCTCTGCGTTCTCTATGTCCGGCGTGGAGGGCAGGAAGTGAGGTAGCGGGCCGGCAGCAGCACCGTGGTCCAAGCCCTCGTGAAGGTGCAGCGAGTGTTCGCACAGGTTCTGGTGGTTCTGCCTGAAGCAGCTAAGGCCTCCTGTGAACACAAACAAAGAGACCTTGACGTAAGCTCAGAGTAAACACAGCGCTACCTTGTGTTTGGTTAACAGAGGAAGCAGGAAGTCAAATTATTTTAACTAGAACGTTTATAAAACTGTCAAACTAATAGAGCTGCAACAAATGTCATATTTTAACATTTGACGTTTCTGTTGTGTTTTTCAAATGTAGCTTCATTGTACATTAATTTCATGGTGCTGTGAGATTGCTGGACAGTTAATATAAGTGCGTGGCTCACATTGTGTCAGGGAATAGCTGTTTGTCTGCAGTCAGTGTTGTTTCTGAAAGGCTTTATACCAACACACATACATTGAAGACTATAACATAAAGACATTTTGTGGATTTTGGAAATAGTTACATGTATATTTTTCCAATAAAATTTCACTTTTAAACGTTGCACCGCTGTAGAGATATTAATAATGTTTTGACCACATGAGAAATGAAACGCAGCATTCACTGGAAAGTATATAACTAATTATATCAGTAGCCTATTCCTTATCTGCAAATGTGCAGAATTACCTGGTTTGGATAGAACAAATATCAAATAGCTGCTTAGTTTGGATAGAACAAATAGCTGCGTAGCGTTCAAATGTCAACGTTATAAATGAAGCTATTTGGTACAGCCCGACAAAGAACATTTTCTACCTAATTACATAATTTGGATGATTTATGGATGGTTTTTCTACCTAATCTGAATGCTTTACTTAAATTAAATGATTTTTTACCCTGTCCCCTCCTTAATTGGAAATTGGACCTTGTTGTTCTCCTTGGTTAGCGCATGAAGCTAACACTGTCAGGGTTATAGGTTCAACTCCCAATGGAGCCCTCCCTACTAAAAATACATGCACTTAAGCTTCTCTGCACCACATGGCACACGTTACAGGCGAGTAGGCCAGTAAGCTTTGCATACACGTCTGATAAGAGCAACGACAACTGGCTTTGACGAGCTTCGAAGCACTAAAACATGACAGAAATCTCCAACTCCCAGACTACACCAATGACATTTGGTTGTAATTTGAATGTCTCCATTTGGTAATTACATCAATATTAAGGGATCGGCAGTGTTTTCCATTTGCAAAACGTATTTTAAGAAGGACAACATAGCTACTATAACAGTTCCCCCCCACCCCCCTTGTTAATCTGCAGGTAAATATATGTACAATAAATGTTTAATATACTTCTCACTGGACATCTGCACTTCTCCAAATAACTGGTTTGCACCTGTTTACAGTGATGCCAAAGTTTCCCTTCACCACAAGAGTTGTGGGGAGGGGTGGAAAGTGTCAAGACACACACACACACACACACACACACACACACACACACACACACACACACACACACACACACACACAGAGTATCAGTTCATGTATTGTTCACACTGCAAGAGTTGACATCATGCCATGTGAGGTCATCACACAACTTCCCCCCTGGTGACCAGCAGGTGGGTTTGCCATAAAAAAGCCTGATTGTTAACATGAACAAAGACATTAAACTGATGCTATGCTGCTACTGCAACAGAAGTAGCTATTATAGGGATGTTGTAGTAATATTTACCCATGAATAAATAAATGAAAAGGGAAGTATTATAAGCTATCTGACAACATTCTCAACAAAACATTTTGGGGGAATTTCCACTGACGTTATTACTTTTCTTTAAATGAGCTTCTGTTTATTAACCATTTTCAATGTTGACGTTTAGAAACCTTTTTTTGTACTAAAGGTTACCAGTTGTTATTTGAAAACAGGAATGTAGCACACTTTATACAGAAAGACGCAGATTAAGTAAGTTACAAGATAAGAAAGTCTCACAACCCACTTTTACGGGACTATATTTTTCTTCATTTTCATCATTTTATTCATTAATAGAATACAAATCTCGCCTACATTTAAAGCAACAATAAAATATGTTTTGGCAGTTACAGGGAGTAAACATTTATCATCAAATAAAGGTGTGGGAAACATTGGATGAAGTATGTAGTTCCCATATTGACTCCATTTGAGCTCTGCTTTGGTCTCCACCAACTCCTTAGTTATACCCAGCTCTTTAGCTGCTAAATGCTCCACTTTGTTCACCAGATAGCAACTACCTTTGTGCGTCATTAAGTGTGTTATTAGGGCTTTTTTAACATGAATACTTGCAATAAAATACATTTGTGAGCCCTATAACCAAACCAATGAGCCGAACAACCTCCACAAAATGGAAAAACCAGGTGATCCAATTCAAGCATCAACAAAATGACTGCTAGCAACATATGTACCTTCCTGTATAGAAACTAAACCTAGCTCTCTATTTTCAGGCTGATAAATAACACTTTTCATACTAAACTGAGATTTACAGATTCTCCAGAAGACACATATTGCTGTGGGATGAAATCTGTTGAGTGTGACCGTCTGTCTTTAACGCCTGTCTAAACTCGAAGAGAAAAACATGATAACTGTCTATCACTTTCATAAACCACATGCTCAGTTCCTGCTTAGAAATTACCACCTCTGCCTCGCGAAGGCCTCTCAACACCACAGGCCTGATGTTTCCAATGCTTACACTAAACCTTCCAGCACCACTGACATGTTGTTTATGGCAATTGTGACGGATTAAAGGTAACCTATAACTGCTCTCTGTTGGAGGATTCTGTGTTTCCAGTGTAGCACCCAACAACAGTGTTACGATAAAGAATGACTAAGGCCTGCTGGTAACTGAGCAAATAATAGTCAATTATTCAGCAGCGTTCATACAAGCATGTTTCTATTATATAACAAATACTACAGCTTGAAATAATAATGTTTCCCGGCTTACTTTATCTAGTTAGAGCTCTCATGGATTATAGAGAAATACATTAATCATCACTACATTTTTAAAGAAATGTAAGGTATATTTAAAGCATTAATTTGACCAAGTGCAAAATATGAGTTAATGGATCCAGTTCTGCTTCGGTCTTGAATCTTTCAAAAGGTTTAAATATATAGTTGAAAACTAACAAGATTTTAAAAGTGTATCGGGGAAAACTGTGCGTCTACGTCGAGATACATCGCCATCATTGTCGACAAAATGGAAACCTTGTGTAAATTGTTGCAAACATTGGATATGTTTTACAAGATCTGGACCTTTGTAATGCAGAAAATGCTACTTATTGTACATTATAAATTATACATCATCCAACTGTTTGGATTATTTAGGCTACAATCAGACATATAAATGGGGACACAGAGAATAGAGGCCATTCCTAATGTGAAGGAGAACTTGTAATGTAGATAAAAGTCAGGCTGAGCCATTTGAGTCCCACAGCAGAGAGGATGTCTTGAATTTTGCAAGAATTAAATCAGGGGAGGAAAGAGAAAGACAGTCTGCCTGTTTCTCCCACTGAGGCGGGCTTCACACGAACACAGTTACAGGCTTAGTGAATAAAGAGGAGCGTCCATCAAAGCACTCAGGAGGACCAGAGGACGAAGAGGAGAAGAAGAAGAGATCAAGGTGCTGTGATCTTACGGTTAGATGTTGTCTGGGAGGCATTCAGAAAACACTCACAACCCAGCCCCCCAACACGACTTACTGCTCCAGCTTCAAACACGCACACACCAAAGATAGAGAACATGGCAGCGACCCAGCTATCTCGACAGACTTATGCCTTATTTACTAACAGCTGCTTCTGGCTTCCTGCAAAATGCTTAATGAGTGTGATATAGAAAGCTGGTGAGGAGCGTGTGCATATGTTTATGTATGAGGGTGATTTAGAAAGAGCGTGGATTGCCTTGATTATGCAAAAGCTGCTGTATGTGGTAACTACTGTAATACTTCAGTACAAAGTTCCCAGGGTGTTGAAACTACAACTAGCGTTTACGGGAAATATCAGCTGCAAGGGCTGTCCACGACCAAATACCTTTTTATTCCACTTTTGATTGTTGTATTTAATCAACAGATTAAATATTGTGTTTAGCAAAGACGTGATCTTAAGTTTCTTAAAATAACGTATTTAGCGTGAAAAAACTTTTTAAACCCTTATTGAATCTTAGTCAACAAAAAACAAAACAACAAATAAGTTTACCAATGATTAGGAGGGGGCTGTCCTAATCAGCTGACCAAAACAATAAAGCTAAAAGTTAACAGTCACACACACACACACACACACACACACACACACACACACACACACACACACACACACACTATTCATTGTTGTACTACCATATTGGTTTCATATCAGTTTATATTGCCACGAAGCTCCTACTTATTCTAAATGGGACATTACTTCAGATGTCTGGACTGATTTACTCCCTCCCGAATCAAACTAAAGCCCAAAGAACTGTGGTTCCTATCCCTTATTTGTTATGCTCTAACACTTCCCAAGTCTTGACAAACCCACTGAGGTGTTACCTTTGAGGATGATGGGGTCCTTGCCCTCCCTCCTCAGAGACTCCAGGACCACGTGCAGCGGCTGGGAGAACGTCAGCCGGCTGGGTTCCATGGTGCTCTCATCGTAAACCACGATCTCTTTGGAGAAGATGCCCTTATAAGAGTCCTTGCCCTCGCGGCAGGAGATGAGGTCGAGCACCGTGATCTTGCCCTGCTGGAGACGCCGCCGGCTGATCTTATCGGAGCAGTTGATGTGCACGGCCCCCCGGATGTGGCTCTTGTTGTACTCCATGAAGGACCGGCAGTCGATGATGACGGGCACGGGCCCCACAGGGTGTCCCATGGGGCAGCAGGACATCCGTTTGGCCAGCTCATTGGGGTGGATGACCCTCACGGTGGACAGGGCCCTCGGGGTGCCTGAGGCGAGACTGGGGGTGCTGATTGCTTCATGGCTGCTGACCATAGGGGGGGGGGCCCCGGCATAGCTGAGGTTGGGGCTGCTGGCGCTCACCTGGCTGTGGTTGAGGCTCTGGTTGTCCTTCTCATAGGTAGTCACTGAGCAGCAGCTGGCACTGCTGCATCCACACGACAACGAGCGCGTGGAGCCCTTGGATGAGGGCATATACGTTACAAGATTGGCCGTCGCCCGGATCTTCACCACGGTGGTGCTAATAACGGTGTTGTCGCTGCTGCTGGTGGCGATGGAGTCCACGTAGCTGGTGTCCAGGCGCAGTTGGAGTTCCTGAGGTCGGATCGGCCTTTGCAGCGCCACCACAATTCTGTCGTCAAGAGGAGATGGAGGCATGGGGAGGCCGAGGGCTGGACGTTTACCGAGAAGTCAACAAGCCGCTCTGTGGAGACAGAGAAGAGACAACACGTCAGACGAGGAAGGAAAGACTTGCAAATGAACAGTTTGGTTCAATGGATTGTGCATCCACTGATTCAGATCAAAGCAGTGAATGCAGGCGCAGAGTGCACATAGGCAGGGCTCCTGTCTGTTTGATCAACATGCAAATTATTAAACTGCCACTGAAGCCAAATATTAGTAGTGTCAACACCTGCAGGGCAACACCCAACTTGGTGGGAAAATGTAGGCGAGACAGACTGGCCACTAAGAATAAACAGTGAAATCATCAGAGAGTCTCGAGTAACTCAATCACTTTGAGTGTAATTAATATGAATCACCCTCCAGATACTGTACTAGTAGATATGTGTGTGTGTTTGTGTGTGTGTGTGATGTTTGAATGTTTCATCCCAACTCTGGTCTGTCTGATCCAAAGCTTTTATAACAAGAGAGAAAAAAAGATAAAATACTGCATCAACGCTACGCCGCAGTTTGGTCTCTCCCCCAACTGGAAAAGTCAGGGTAAAAAAAAAGAGGGGTGGCAATTCCTTTTGATCACCAGTCTGAGCATTTTAAAAGCATGTCATCCCAGAATATTATGTAAAGACACCCGCGGAGCTCTGCCTGTCCCGGCTATTGCCGTGCTTTAGGCACGGTGCAGCTCCAGCTTCAGCAGAAATCATTCATGGCCAAATTCATTGAAGAAACCGGCATGAGAACGTGCCGAGAATGTGATATGGCTTTTTAGGACGAGGCGAGCTGATCAGATGAGCTAAACACTGGAGAAAATTCAATTTCACACCGCCTTACTAAATACTAAAATAATACATATGCAAGCGATGGTTGTATTTTAAAAGGTAGGGATTGTAACTTTGTCGCAATGGAGGTATTTATAATAAACATAACAGCTGTTAAAAAAAAACACTTAATTCATGTCATTATAGTATTAATAATAATAATACACCTATAATAAACAACTAATCCGATCTAAATGGTTGCAGCAATTTGCTATTCCTCTAAATTAATTATAGAATAAAATCCCTATGACGGTGCATCACAAAACAACTTCTGTTTTGGACACTAATTCCCAAACTTGCCTTTTTATTTCTGCTTACCGGTGTGTGTGTCGCGGTGCACTGTAGACGGATTTATGATCCCCGCTCCCTGACAGCGTTGCCTCCATTCAGTCCGTCCCAGTGTTGTGGATCGGCAACATTTTTTAGTACTTTTACCCCCGCTCCCCCAGAAATAATATTGAAGGAAGTGTGCCAGCCTACAGAAGTTGCGCAGCGGGATTGATGTGACTGTGAGCCAATGTGCGGCTTCATTAATATTAAATGCGAGGCTTTCTGTACAGTGAGGTCCCGCCCTTTGAGGGGAGGGGTTTGGCTGAGATGTCTGCCTCTGTGGCTGCGTGGAGGGGGAGGAGATGAGGAGGGGAGGAGAGCAGGAGGGAAGGGGAGGGGAGGGGAGAGGAGGAGAGAGGGATGTCGCCTGAACTGCCTTCAGTCCCACGCGATGATGTCACTGGCAGCCAATCAAAAGTCTCTCCTTGAGGCTCGAGGAAGAAGACTGTGCCTTCACGTGCTGCTCGTAAAAATCTTAACGCACAGTCAAATGGAGCTGTATCATAATAGAGCCACTGTGCTGCTGGGGAGGAAATATGTGAACTAAAAGCAAATTAGACTAGTTAATGATTGTTCAATGATGAGTCAGATAATTAAAGTCCACTGAGACAAATGTAACATTTGTGATATTGGGCTATATAAATAAACATTGATTGATTGATTGATTGATTGATTGATTGATAATTATACAAACATCAGGGGACTTCCCATATCGTCTTACACTGTTTAATTTCTATTGCTGTCCCCTCTTGCACTATTTATATTGTTTTTAAGTAATTTGTGTATTTATGTTGCATTGTTTGAGCAGGCTGGGACCTATTAATTATAGTAATAATAATTATAATACATGTTATTTATAGAGCGCTTTTCAAACTCAAAGAATTGAATTGCCAAAAATACACTTTAGCTATTGTGCATACGACAATAAAATCTTTGAATGTGAATTTCAAATTGAAGGTTGACCTAGGATAAAAAAGGTTTATAAATGGATTTGAAAAATGTCCTCTCATTGGTAAATAAAAATTAAGCCATGTTATGACGTGCCCCTAGATCCCATTAAATGATCATTGTCCATTGTTGAAATCATGACTTAACATAGATCACATGACACTGCATACAATGTGACATGTGACAGTAAGGAAATTAGACGTGTAAACAATATGATTAATGGTGGCGGTATTCCATTGAGCTAAGACCCCGCCCACACGGAGACGAAACGGGTTGTATCCGCTACAGTTCTCTATCGTATAGACGGTTCGTCCACACGAGGCCGAAACGGAAACGCGGATAACGATAACGGCTCCCAAGGTGGGTAGATCTGCGGACAGAACGCTCTGGGGGGGCAAACGGCTCCGTGTGTACGCCCTATACGATCCTTTCCTGATAACGATGAAGCCATAGCCCCCCCTCTTCCCACCTCTGCTGCTCCCCCCCGCGTCACCCGCGTCATTGCTGATGTGTTTCTCCAACAACAACAACAATGGCGGATCACAGGGTTGCGTTGGTGCTCCAGACGCTACTGACCATGATACAGATGTTAGTGCAACATCTACAGCTCCTCTACCACAACCATCAGCAACAAGTGGACATGGAGAACTACATGAACTACATGTTGCTAAATCCACCGCGGAGAATAAACAGAAGGGCAACCAGGCAACCATGGCAACCATGCTCGGGGGGGTTTTATTAGCTGCTTTTGGTGTATTTTGTGGCGGAAGTACAGCGCCACTTACAGGCCCGGCATATGTAATACAGCGGGTCGAGCGGTCTCGTGTGGACGGACACGTTTCTTGAGCCGATTGCGTGTGGACGGAAGACTTTTTTGATATCGATATCGGTTCGTTTTCATTTTCGTTTCCGTGTGGATGGGGCTCACAACCCCACATCTTGGTTACCGAGATATAGTGTGACGCCGGTGTGCGGCCGGAAATTACAAATAGGTAATTCAGTCAGTCGTATATAGGTTTGCATTTGAATCTTAAATCTTTACTATTACCTTCCCAAGTAAGTAATATGTACGTATCTGTTCCCTTGGGTGTCTCTAAGCATATATAATTAACTTGAACAGTATCGTCTTTCTGTGTCATACAACGTTACCATGATGGTTTTACACAGGTCCGTATNGTGTTAATGCTGGCACACATTGGAGACAACTGCACAACTGTGCTTTCCTGCTATGACAAGTACAAATAAAACGAATCTCTGGTTCCTTGCTATATGAATGAACCTTCCATATGATCTAAATCTGTTACGTTTGAGATATGCTGCTGACTAATGGATACATTAAGGCGGCGTGTGGCGCAGTGGATAGAGCCCTGGTCACAGGTTCAAACCCCACTGCAGTCAGCATGTCGTTGTGTCCCTGGGCAAGGCACTTCACCCCAAATTGCTCCTGTGGGGATTGCCCACAGTATTGAGTATGTAAGTCGCTTTGGATAAAAGCGTCTAACAAGTAACGTGTAATGTAATTTAACAGGCAAGCATTAAAGCATTAGAACTACAACTGTGACCTCTTTGGTTGAGATAATATAAATTAAATTAAATTCCAACATACCTGTATGTAAAGGTTTATATGTCTTTGTACTGAAATATCTCCTTTATCTTATCATTGCTTGTGTTTTATTTTGCCCTCATTCATTTTTTTTGGTCAGCTTTTTCCTATTGAATCATCTGAAGGCCTGCTGTGCTCACTAAACAATAACTGCCTCTCCTGAACAACCAGACCGCTTCTACATTTTCATTTTCTTCAGAGAAATCTCCTCATTTTGCTGCTCTTGGTTCTTTCTCTTTCTTGTTTTCCTCAGGTTACAGTTACCTCTTCAATCCCTTGCAACATAGAGCGCACATATTGAAGATCAGCTGGGTGTAGATCACTGTATAAGCATCTAATTTGGGAGAGCTTTTCTTTGAAAAACAATAATGTGTCAGTACATTTACATACTCTCAAAAATGTTCAGCAATATGTTGGTATGATTCACGTTGAATATATGTAACTCAATCCTGTTTGAAAAGAAACAGACCTGAAACATACTTTTAGCAGGATTTTGGGAAAAAATACCTGTCTGATCTTCATTAAACTTGGTGAAAAAGTGTAGCATTGACCTAATAAACAACTCATTACATTTTGAAGTGGGTGTAGTCGTTATTTAATACTTATGGAAACAGCCATGGCGAATATCTCTTTCTCAGTGTGCTTGTAGTCCGCAGTACAGTGACCAATCATAGGTTAATTGTATTACTAAAATAAAAAAGTTAAATTACATTGCACACTAAAGGCACCTGAAAGTCACACAGTTTGTTGCTTCATTTTCTTACATTTTATCTATTTAAAAACAACAATTGACGTTTTATTTTAAAACTCTGTATTGTGAGGTAACTACTTCTAACCCTCAATAAGGTTGCCTCCCTATCTGTGTGTGAGATAGGGAGGCAACAGAGGTGGTAATAAGTAGGTGTGTTTGGCAGGAGTGCTTTCAAGCCAATGCCAAGTTGGCTGACTGCACAGTCCCGTATGACAGGACCCATGTTGCGGTGAAAGGGTCTCGTTGGCTTAAAACCCCAAATATAATCTGAGCTCTCTATTATCCTCTCTGGCAAACTAAAACAATGCAGGGCATTTATTATTGCTTCTATTCTTAGCCCTCTTTACATTTCTTTCCTTTCTTTATTTATAAATGGACACAGCTGATCAAAGCCCTTTTAGATTGGATTACCGGCTACTTCTGTTTCACTTGTGATAAAGGGTAAATGGGCAAGTACCCTCTGCCTTTGGAGAAGACCTTTCAGCACCACTGAATGTGAATATTTTAAATAAACTCGTCTTGTTTTGTGTGTTTTGCAACATTTAATTAATTGGCCGAAATGTCAAGTGATAATTCATGTGAAACACATCACATGAATGTAAAGTGGAACAACAAAATAAATCACAAGTTACATTTGTGGTATTGGCCTGTAATGGTTACATTTGATACTCCAAATTTACTGATTTTAAACTGTTCTGATCAAATGAGGGATCCTTCTTTGCAGGGGTTGAAAATAACAACAAGGTCACATGTGAAAGCATCTAAATAGCACTACACTTTTAAAGACAGTATCTCATTTCTACACATTTTATCCTTTTCCTGTGTCATTTCACAGCTTTATACACGTGGTTAATGTTGTGAATTCATATACTACACAACACAACTTGGTTAGTTGGAGAAAAGATTATGTTTTCTGTTCAAATAAGTATTTGATAGGTAAATGAAGGTATACGCAATTTAAGTAGTCAACATAAATGTGTCAACGTTTGACTTTCGGTTTGACACGTGACACAAACAGAGGTCTCCCTGGGGAAAGTCATGTGTTTGTCAGACCCATTCTCCCCGTCCTCTACTGGAACTAATAAACAAAACTATAATAGCAGTTAAAAATAACTCCTCCTTGACCAGCTGCGACAGTAAGATATTGTTTACCAAAAGAGGGACCCAGTCATTGTTTCCCAACTCACACGTAAGCCTCAAGTCTACGAAGTTAAGTCCAGACAGGCAAGACCCAAATACTGAGTTACCATTCTTCAACAAGTCATATTGTGTCTTCATCAATTTCCATTCTGCAAGTATTTCTTTGTTGACGCTGCATAGTTTGTATATGCACAATAACAAAAAGTAGGAATCTATTGTCCTAAGAACTGTAACATATTAGTATTTATTGTTGAAACAAACAAAGTGATTATAGGGAGTTAAGTTTTCCATAATGGTGGTTATAAATAGCGTTAATTCAAAGAAACAAATTGATTTGTTGCACATTTTAATACCACATGTTTAATCTCAAAATAGGGGGCACGTATCAAGTGTTTTAAAGACAAAAGGCTCAAGTTCCAGTTGCAAGATTTTATCCTCAAGTCATCTTGAAAGTGTATCTACTGTAAGTTATAACTTGACTCTGACTCACAGTCATGTGACATGAGTCCACACCTAGTTACACATGGACGCAACAGTATTACAAATTTAAATCACATATATGACATGGAACAAGTGGCAGAAGATACATCTTTTTTCTTTTGATACTTGTATTTTGCTGATAATACTTCTGAACATTAACTTTTGGATTTTAATGCAGGACTTGTAAATGTAGTCGAGTATTTTTAGATTGTTGATTTGGGGTTTCTTACT